TCCGACCTGTAAATTCTGGGGTCGAATCGTTTTCACGCGCTAATTAACAAAACTGGATTGCGCCACCCGCGAGATTCATGCCGCGTGTGTACCGGCGATTTATCACTGAACAATAACCGCGTAAACGCTTAAGCCGGAGAGTTACAGCCCTCTCAGGCTGGTTGGTCGCTCTTAATGCCCGTCATCGACTGAATACTCGTCGGATTTATAGGCTTGCAGGAATGCGTGCGAGTACACAATGATCATGTGGAATTAAATTTGTATATATAACACCAAATTTGAGACGCATTCTTATTTTTTCTCCTCTTTATCGCGACATGCGATTGCTTTAAATATTATCTTCTCTGTTTAAATAAGTGATAAAGAGGAGATGATTTCCATAAAGAAATCGACGAAATTTATATTGTTATCGCAAAAAGGAATTTCGAAACTAACTCGTTGAATAATTATGCAAACATAAATTTAATTACACAAAAAGATATACATATATATGTATATATCAATTTTCTCTCTCTCTTTCTCTCTATCTTTTTTATGAAATACATATATTTAAAATAGGAACGATATATTAAATTTGACCCAAACTATCCAAGAAAATTTTTTATTTTGGATCAAAAACAGATGGTCGAAACGTTGTGGAAATAAAATAAAAAATTTTCTTGGCTAGTTTGGGTCGAATTTAATATATCGTTCTTATTTTAAATATCATTAGCGACGTTTTAAGTATTCAATTTGACATATATTTAATTTTGATGTTAAATAAAGAAATCTTTATAAAAAAGAATCTTTTACAAGACTTTTAAATATATATTTTTTATTATAAAAACTTATACAGATTTACTGCTTTTTTTTAAATGACGTCTTTTGTAATTTTATCCACTTAAGCTCTATATTCCATACAATAAACTCTGTTGCTTGGTAAATTTGCGTACATAATATAATCGGACACGTGTAACAGGCAACGCGGCGAGTAATTTAATACCATTCCGTTAATTATGCAATTTACTGTCGTAATTTCGCATGATATACAGTACATCGCATTCAGAGCGCGCTTCTCACGATAATCATTAAATAAGGCAAACATTTAGAAAATTACGGTAACGATGCACGGAGAGGAATTATATGTACATAAAATTTGCGATAAGAGATTACAGGATTCTTTGTTATTTATATATTTTTTTCCTCATCAAAAACTCACGATGATCGATCGGAGGCGATATTTCGTCTTATTATTAAAATTTTTTTCTTCCTCCGCGTGTGTATATTAATCACCTCCGACAATTCTTCACGCATATACTCAGATTACGGGGCCTAATAATTTAAGTCGCGTGTGAATCGGCACGGGTGTGCGAAATTTCGGCGCGCAACAAGAGAGAGAGAAAGTAGGAGATAAGATTTGAGCGTGAAATTAATGTTTCGGCATACATATATCAGTATCCGTCGCGAAACGCGAAAGCCGACGATAAATCCTGCGAGAAGTGCCCGCGAGATATATAAGGCGGGCATAAATATAAGGACGCGCAAATAACTGACATTTTTAACCGACCGATTCTTCTCCCCTTCGCCCTTTTTTTGCGCTCATCGTTGTCAGTCATCCCCTGCGAAAAATCGGGCGATACATCGAATGTCATTTCGACCCCTTCATCTCCTATAATGCTCTTCTACTTTATATATATGCGTACATATATATCCGGAGCATTTCTTTCGCTCGGCAAATGTAGCCGCTGATGCGAGTAAATAAGGTGATAAATTTACGACGGCGAATTTCTTTCTCCAAATCTTCCCCCGGCTTGGAATAAACATATACTCGCCAATTGTCAAATACTCATTTATCTCAGGACATAAGTCTCTGCCCAATATTCGATTTTCTTAAGACACTAAAGTCGCTAATTATATGTTTTTTTTTCCATTGACGGATCATTTTCGACGCGATATAATCGTTCATTATTTCCTTTGTTTGTACAAGAATTCACAATATTTAGTTGTCGCTCAGCGATGATGGATCGATCGTCCGCGTATAAATTATTATTGCAAACGATATAAAGTTTATGGTCTATAATTGTCTATGAATCGGCTATGAATACTAATGACATAGAGTAGAGAATCAATTATTTTACTTTATTGCCTTTGCTTTTGTAGTCGTGTGTCTCACTTTGACATCACTCGCGTAAACATTAGACGAAAAATTTGTCGACAATTGATGCGACACTTGCTGCCGCAACCGCACGTGAAAACTGTTGTTCGGATTTCTCTTCCACTTGTGAATATCTAACAAGTCGTTTCTAAGGTATGGAGAAATTCTCAAATTTTGAAAATTGCAGATCTTTCTGCGAGAAGCGAAAATCTTTTAAATATTTGACTCACGTAATACGTTCAATAAATTTTTATATTTACAATATTTATTATATAATATTATATATTATATTTTTCATACTTTTTTATATATAACATGTTACGTGTTTTTTTATCATAATTATATAACATATGATGTGATATAATTATACACCTAATAAGCGATCACGAATGTGAAATTCGGTAGTAACTGGGAATAAATAACAAGCCGAGTATTTTTCACGCGATACATCAGCAGAAAATATTGCCAACCCTACGAGATGCGAGTATATCTCGACTTTTCTGACATGTCTAGACTTCTTGTTATTTTTACAAGCCGTGCACTTACGACACTTAAATCATGTGCACGATACACAACATAAAAAGGTTATATAAAAGATTCGCGTGTTTTCTGCATTGTAAATTTTATAATAAATTAAAATAATAGATTCTAAAAAATAATATTAATATCTTCGAACGAGAGTTCCATCTCCGTTAGAGAGTTTATCTCTCACTGGAGTCTCTCTATTAAAATGCGAATTTTAATTTGTCTTACTCTTTTGAGTATATCATTTCTAGAGTTTATCGCAAATTTAATGAAAATCCTTAAATTTTCACGAAATAAATAGGAATATAATTTTGTAACTCTTCGATAAATCTTCTTCAACAAAATTAACTTCGTGTTTATTGAAAAATTTCAGATTTGAAAAAAAAGAAAAATGTCGCGCAAAGCTTTACTGCTACGTTCGATATAAGCAGACGTTTGTGCGATGGCATCCCAGCGTTGGAGCCGTTGCACTTTTATACGCGTCAACGTCGAGAGATTGATGTCGACGAGATTTCGGGGAGAGGACGTTTCGCAAAAGCATGGAAGCGAGACGCGCGCGTTGCACTTTTCTCCGCGCATATCGACTTGCGGAGGAAAGAAATATCTCTCGCTCCGGAAACAATATTTTCTCTCAAGGAATTATTTCGCGCAATTTTCTCGAACGAGAAAAAATTATGATACATATCTCGCAATATCTGACAGAATAGATGTGTGTTACGATCGCGCGATTATTAGTACACACTAATAAATATCTATCGGAAGTTGCAATTACGACAGTGATCTCGCTGGGCGCAAAAATTATTACTTAATTCGAAGATGAGTTAATTTATATTATAGTCGACAAGCGACAGAGTGCTATATTTTTAACTTAATTTATTCAAAAAACCATAGCCTGTGTTGAATGAATAATATTCTCTCTCTTCCCTAACGCTGTCAAATTATGCTCGAAAAAAATTGCACCCTGTCGAAACTATATGGAGATTGTTCGGTACGATATCTCTGACTCTCGACTCGATGAATGTCAGCACATGAGAGATTTTCGCGTGACGTGCCAGCGTTCGGAAGCGTTATTATTTCATCGAGCATAATTTTCGGCGCTCACGCGGAGAAAGAAGAAACGCGATAGAAAATAAATTTTCGTCGTTTCGATACGCTGCGAGATAAACTTGACAAATTTTTTATCATGAGAAATCGATAAAACAATTCTCTTATTTTTTTGACGCAGAAAATTAAAGGCTAAGATGACATGTATGACATCAGGCAACATAAGCCAATGGTTATAATTAATGTTTTCTCGTTATTACATTGAAAAAAATTATTAAATTAATAAATATTGATTTCAATAATGCCTAATAAATCATTTATTTGAAACAAATAAATATTTATCTGTTTTGAAAAGGATTTTCTCATATTGCATAAATATTTTTCACATCAGATCAATATTATTAATTTCAAATAAAGATAGTATTGAAATAAATATTTATTCGAATTCAAACATTTTTTTTTCATTATATATTTTTCTGTGTTACACGAAAATTGAAGTAACTTAAGATTCATGATCAAAAATGGAGCGAAAAATTGGCCTAAAGTTAATTAATTAACACCGCTGATAATCGAGTCTAAAAGAATTAATTAATTACACTGACATATGCAACATTAAGTCTAATTCTTGTTTATCTATAATTGACGAACAATTCACGATTGACGATTAACGATTTAGTCTATGTTAATTCACCAGCTCCAAAATCTCTCGTCGTCTCCGCGATGTCTGACTTAACGTGATCCCTTACTACTTCCTGAGTCCTCGCGAAGAAGTCGACGCGTCACTGTTATCTCGTCCTTCATCGTAATTGCGCAATTTTAATTAGATTTTCCGTGCGAAAACATGCCCTACATATATATACATATATATATATGTAATATATATATATATTTACAACGAGAACATTGAGAACATTCCGCTCGGCGCCATGCCGAGTCTCGCGCTTTTGCGAGCCGCCGTCTCGACGTCGTCGCCACGCAGTTACATCATCGAAAACAACGCGTAAACGCGTCGCGTATATTTCCTACCCGACGGCAGGGCAGATGGAGGAGAAGGGAGGAATGCGAACGTAACAAATTATATTCTCGTGAAATTTACGGCACGTGAGCTCGTCGCGAATTTTGCCTTTCCCGTTTCGCCTCGAACAGCAACAGTATCAAAAAATATTGTAGGAAATTTTTTGTAAAAGATTTTTTAAAAATGTTGAACCCCTTGTTTACACCCCGAAAAAAAAATATTTTTTTAATAAATTGTAAACAACATGTCAATTTAGATTAATAATATTATCAAACATCTCTTCTCGAGATGCACGAAGAAGCTTCCTCTGATTTTTTTTATACTTGCGTTATCATTTGTGTCGCTATTTTTTATGTATCCATTTATTTACAATTATTATTAATGCATTTTTATTTTATAATATACATCGCGTTTCTTTCAAACGTGTTTCTCCATTATTAGGTATCTTTAAAAATGTCTATTGTGATACTAGCAGCTTCTAATGATCTATAAAGAAATATAGATATATTAAATAATATATAATAATAATAATAATACTAGTAATAATAATAATAATCATAATTATAATAATAAATTAATTAATCAATCAAACGTGCGATATTCTTTTTCCAGTAAGATGAAGAAACTTTTTTTGCCGAAATTGCACGAGTTTGCTTATACCTGATTTTATCGCTGGACAGCATACTTGACACACTTTGCATAGAGAATTTTTTCATTTCTTTTTATACTTGTGTTATCATTTATATCGCTATTTTTTACATATCGATTTATTATTCACAATTACTAATACATTTTTCTTTTATAATGCGAGGTACATCGCGTTTCTTTCAAACGTGTTCTTCATCATTAGGTATCTTTAAAGCAGCCTCTAATGATCTATAAAGAAATATATATCAAATAATAATAATAATAAATTAATTAATTAATCAATCAATCAAACGTGCGATACTCTTTTCCTAGTAAGATGAAGAAACTTTCTGCCAAAATTACACGAGTTTACTTATACCCGATTTGATCGCTGGACGGTGTACTTGGCGCACTTTGCATAAAGAAACATAATCATACGTCTTCCGCATACATCGTTAGGAGTTAAATGCGGGAACGTGACTTCGCTGAAAACCGCGAACCCGACTAGTCACGTTCGGCATTTCTAGTCGTCGCGGCGCGCAAGCACCATCCCCTCATTTGCACTAACCCAAACAAAGCTTTGACACTTGCTCCGGTCCGCACCACCAGCACTACTACTACTACCACCACTCATATATATATATATATATATATATATCTCCCGCCTCTAATTCATTTCTCCACAACCGGAAACACGCGACGTCTACTATAACACATATACATAATACACCGGGTGGCTGTAACGTACCATATGACGCGGCTGCCTGCGAGTTTGACAAATTACTCCGACTTCTCCCACACGTCACCCTCGTCCGGGTTCTTCCTCGGGATATTTGGCGTCCTGGCAAAGAACGGTCTCGGCTTTTCTTCCTCTTCCTCTTTCTCAGCAACGTGCACCACCCCCCAATGTCAAAACAACAACCCCACGGAGACGAAGACCACCTTCGTTGCGGCGCAACGTGATCTCTCGCGCGCCAATGGATCCCGGATTATTCAACGATCGATCGATCGATCGATCGATCACCTGGATCACCCCCTGGAGTCAATAATGAGTTCCTATGCGTTGCCTGCGTGCGCGATTTCCGACTATCTCTCTCTCTCTCTCTCTCGCTATCTCTACACTGACCACTCATCCATCATCACCGTCACCAGCACCAGCGGCACGACGCGATGACGGGCGGCGACGACGACGACGACGACGACGATGACGACGACGTGGACGATCGCGAGGTCGGTGGCGGACTGGCGCGGAACGGCACGCGAGTCACCGTCGACGACGAGTCGAGTCGCTCTGACGAGGAGATCCTGGGGGGCCGTCAGGCTGGCTGGCTGGTGGCGGGTGGGACACGAGGTGGGTCGCCTAGTAGAGAAACAGAGAGAGAGAGAGGCGTAGAGCGTGAGAAGGTAAGAGAGGGAGAGAGCGAGAGAGAGAGAGAGAGAGATCTCGAGAGGGGAGAAAGGGATGACGGCGTCGGCGTCGGTTCTTCGCCGAGGGCGTGGTCCTGATGATGAGCGCGTTGTACCGGAGACGCAGAGAGAGAGAGAGAGAGAGAGAGAGCCGGGTCCAGATGCTGACCGACTACTCGGCGGTCTCGCGCCGGTCACCGATGAGATGTTCGCGTGGTGACTCCTGACCGAGAAAGTGGCCGAGCGTCTCCGATGCTCCGATTGCGTCTCTCATTGTGAGAGACTCTTTATGCGATTATTCATTTTGTCGCGAACGACGCACCTCGGAAATTGTATAACTGCTACGTAAACTCTTCCCGTAGTTGTATTGTATTTTTTTCTATATTATTTCTCTGTATTATTATTATTATATTTTTGTATTTTGGAGTCTATTGAGAAAATTGGTTATTCTTCTATTACATATTTTTGACATATTTTGAGGGCAGGTAGTATATTGATCAAAATAAGAAAAGAGGGTCTAATGAACATGGGTTCTACAATTAATATCTTCGAAGATGCAAGCTACATTTCTGTTTCAATTTATCTTTTTCTTATTGATTGTATCACCTTTATGTACTTAGTAGTGAACAAACGAGTATTTACTAGTTTTGCTATAGTGACGTTTTATATTAACATTACTGATGTAAATATAATACGTGATATGATCAATAGAAAAAAGGACAATAATTAAGCTCAAACAAATAATTAGCCTGCGTCTTCGAAGATATTAATTGTAGAATCTATGTTCATTAGAGCTTTTTTTCTTATTTTGATCAATACTACCCGCTCTCAAAATATGTAACCCTTTTTTTAATATCCTGCCTAATAATATACATTTAATAATAATAAAAATAATGACGAAGCTGATGAAACCAAGTAAAAAGCAAGCTGATGAAAAGAGAGATCTCGAGATCGAAAGGTCCGGGATAAATGACCTCCTGAAAAATTCCCGTAACGTCGACGAAGATTCGTCTTATTCCGAACACGTTGCTGTTATCTCTTCCCGCATTCGTTTGCCCCTTCGGATTCCGAAAAGGGCGGTTTATTCGTTATCATCGTGTATCTTATACCTCGCGGCGGAGGAAAACAGAAAACAGGGGATGAAATATCGTCGTTATACTTTGCATTCGCTCTCTTTTTTCCACGCAACTTGCGCGGCACCCGCATTCTTCCTTCGCTCGTCGAAGCGAACGAGACTTCATCTCGTTCCCGCGAAATGTTCGAGATTTCACGGTGTTTTTGTTCCCGGAACAATGTTTCATTAGTGCGCTATATACGCGTTCGTTATCATTAAACGACAAATGGCACGACGGGGAACGCGTTCGCGCTTGCCCTCTATTCGTCGTTTCGAAGTCGTTACACGAGCTTCGCTAGAACAGAAATTAATCAACGTTGTTGTATAAATCCCTTTTCCGCTCATGTTGTTTTATCACCATAGGATTGCGTCGTAGCGCATGTTCCTCGTAAACCAAAATAAAAAAAGAAAAAGCGCAATTATTCCCGCAAATAACGGGGATGTTTTCCGCACGTGTGTGTATATATATATAAGATGTCAAATGTTTGCACGCAAATTGATATCATAATTTTCAGTCCAGCAAGCGTAGTATCATATATTTGATAAATGTTATCAAAGCGGAAAAAGAGAGAATTTTATTAGAATAAATTGGAATCTATAAAGCAACATTTATGCGAGAAGAAATTCTTTTCTCACGAAAATAAGGAAGAAGAGAACGCATAATTCTGTAGATTGATTTCGTTCATTTTTACGGCAGCTGGAAAATATGCGTGTTTGCCGATCGATCGTTCACTCTTGAAAACCCGTAGATTGCACAAAGATGGATCATTTCCATCTTAAAAGCCTTCCTAATTGGAGCGATATTTGCAGATCACTTGCGATTTCGCAATCGTTTGCATAAGAGAAGGCACTCTCCGTTAGGCGTAGAATCTATTTTTAAAAATGTCCATGTATCGATCGCTCCGCGCCGCAAATTCGATTCCGCGTGTAAGTATATGTATATCATATCGCGCGATTGATAGTCACAGAGAGAGGGACAATGCAAGGAAGTGGCAATTACGATCTCTTGTAATGTAATTGTGTCTCGATGGCTCTGAGAGCGTCGCAACGCGAAAGTTAGCGCGCAATTAAACTCGCACAGAGTTTCATTCCGCTGTTAGGAATGGCTGACATCTAATACATAAATTATTCGGACCTTCAGGCAATGCAGATATTACAATAACAAATATTAGATATTACAATAACAAATGAAAAATTAATTTATATATACATATATATGTATATTTATTAAAATGTATGTAACGAACATATAAGAATAGAGAACGGAAAAGATTGTTGTAAGATATATTGAATGAACAGAAAGAAAAAAGTTTCAACGTTGATATAAGAAGTTTGCGAAATAAAGTCGTAAAGTTGTAAACAGAATTGTATAAATACTTTCGAGATGATTTCTATTAATCAAGATAGTCGCAATTGGCGCAATTCGATATACTTCTTCCATCTCTAGAAAGAAGTTTTCCAATTTTCTTTCTAGAAAACTGATATATAATATACAGGATATCCCAAAGTTAAACAATCAAACTTTACCAGTATGTTTTACGAGTAAAAGTAAGAAAAAATCTTGTATAAATATTGGTCTAAAAAATGCTTTTTAAAAAAATTATGATAAAAATATGAAGACACATAATAACTGTTAGTATACCTGAAAAATATATTCTCTTTTGCAACATTAATTGTATAGCTGGAATATTTATTACTACAAAAATTGTAAATTATGCATTTATTTTATTGTTCGTTAGCAATTATGCATTTATTTCTGCATCAAAATATTTAAATATTACATTCCTTTGTAAAATATACATGTGATATTGAATACAATAAAAATAAATCGTGATTTCTCTTATATATATTAATATGTTCTACGATTACAAAAATTATAGTTAAAATGTTGTAATTTTTATTATATTTTCTTTGTGTATAAAATGTAAAAACGAATATTTATCTAATCTACTTTATTTATAATTTCTCTTCTTCTCTCTAATTTAACTTCATCTATGATTTTATCCTCAATTTATATTTTTCATTGCAACTCGATTTTTTTTATATACATACAGAATTTAATAAAGAGACGAGAAATTTAATAGTCTTTAATATTTTGAATGTAAATACAATTGAATGCAATCGAATGCTTTTTTTGTGAACAATTTCTCTTATCGATGCATGAGCGATTACATATCATAATCGCCTAATTCACTTTTAATATTTCATTAAAACAACAAAAATCTAACAATGAATAATTTAAACATGTTCTTTTTTTAAAGTTACACGAACATTGAACCTCTCTCGTTCTATCGGGCATTCAATTATTCGCATCGGCACTTTATCAGTTTTCTGAAATAATAAAAGTATTATAAAATTGTGCGTTAAATTCTCCCTTTTGGAGCACACCATTCACTACGCTATCGCCATTCATTCCGAAGCACAAAACGCAGTCCCTTGCGAGCGCAGGCTCGGATTTAAAACGTCGCAATAAATTATTACTGGCGTATTATCCCGTCGCGAGCTAGAGAGAAAGAGGGAGGAAGGCGCGAGTTTAATCCGCCGTCAGGGCTTCGTTCTGTCAGTTGCAGCTCGCGAAACGAACGCGCTCCGAAAAGCAGACGTGGACCTGACCCAATTGGAAGCGCATTTCGGGGAGCATACACATACACACTTATACACAGTCGCAATAAAACGGCTAGGTGACATGCCTGACGGTCCACGTCGGGCAAGGTTAAACGTCGACCCTCGCGCCGAACTTATAAATAACCGCGATATATACGCGTTCCCTTCCTTCCCTTTCTCTCTCGCTGCCTCTTTCTATAGCCGCCGATACACTGGGAGCGAAAGAGAAGCTCGCGAGCTCCGAAAAGCTCCGCTTCTCCTCGCTACCCGATCTAATTGGGAAATGCGGTAATTGGGTCGCGCCGAGTGCGAGCGATGGCAAAAATCCCCTTTATCCGTTCTGAAAAATGGATGTCATTTTTTTTTTTTTTTTTTTTTTTTTTCGACGATCATCTCTCCCCGATGAGCCGTTCTACCGTCAAAACACACGCGGATAATCCGAGGAAACAAATACACGACGCGGTCGCAAGTATATAATTAGGGACACCCTCGACACGTTAACTTGGACATTATAATTCTGGATTAATTGATTGGTATCTTGGTGTTCCATAAATTAGCATAGAAATGTTAATCTTTATTTTGTACACGCAAATGAGTGGAGCTCGTAAAACATAGGCGATTAAAAGTAAATTTGCTTGATACTCGTGGAAGTTAAACCATCTTTATTATATCTTTATTATAATATATTAAGGAAGCTTTAAACGCGCATTTGTGAAGAAAATTTTAACATTTTGAAATTTATTTTTTCTTTAATGTAATTGTCGATCTCTTAAAATAAGATAAAAGTACTATGATATACAAAGTGTATCTAAATAAGTGCGAAAAATTTTAGGAGATGATTCTTTGTCGAAAATTAAAAGCGGTTTCTTATATAAATACATATGTATACTATTATATACCTATTTCTCCCTGAAATTGAAAAATAAAACGGAAAATATTCTCTTCAAGTTTCATTTTTTCATTTGTCTGACATTTGAAAAAAAAAATAAAAACTTAATTTTTACTTCCCTCTTTAAAAAAATGTAACTTTTTAGAGAAGGATTTAAAAATATATATTTATATAAGAAACTCTTTAATTTTTGACAAAGACACATCTCCTAAAATTTTTCATACTTATTTACATAGATGCACTCTGCATATAAAGTAATCTTAACATAACTTTTGCATATTTTTTTCATAGACACGCGAAGTCGTCATAATTTTCGTAGAAACATATCTTTGATAGTCTTCCTACTTAATTTCGTCCGTTTTTATCGTCATAATAAAAACGCCTCATAATAATTTTAAAAAGTCTTTAAAATCCTGAGTCTTTTCACAAAATCGTTAAATTGCGAAAGTATCAAGATCTCTTGAGATATTCCTAAATTATCCTCATCGCTTGCGTGCTTTCGAGAAATCTATGTAAATACGTATATGTATATGTATATTTGCAATATGAAAAAAATTGGAACTTTGTAACGCATCGAATTTTTAATGGCAACTCTTTCGAAGGATCTCTACTGACTACTTTCATTTGCATTTACGTAACGCGAAATAGGTCATGCGTGCCAGGATTAAAGCCTCGTTGCTCAGTTTAATGTGCACGCTCTCAAATTGTATTTACTCGGAAAATTTTGAGTTGGCTTAATACCTCCGTGTATATACCGTGATGTACATTAGTCCGCGGTACGTGAGCAACAATACGCGAATGTGTAAAATCTTGCCGGTAGTCATGCCTGAGTGCTGTGGGACCACGGAAAATTCAGCAAACGTCACTTGTGCCTCTCGAGAGAGCGAGCCGGCAAAATCGAATAGGTACGTCGGAGAAATCTTTTCGCGTTACGAATTTTACGTGAAATATGTCACGCGTATTTTGCATTGCGCGATTTGCAATTTTTCCAGACTTGTTCTCGAAAGCTTTTCTTTCGCTTATACGTGCATACGTGAACATTCGCGAATTAAGCCGCTACTGTTGTGCGTAGATTACGCGTAGTAATTTAATTCTATGTGAGAAATAGCGCGGGAGCGCTCGGTTTTTGTATTGAAAAAAAGTTCGTTTCATACAGACGAAAGAGCGAAGCGTGTCTTTCTTCCTCGTAAATGGATATTAAATGAAATCAGAGCTGAAAAGAATATCTGAAGAGAAAGTCCATACACTGAGGCGTGATGCGATGTTTTTTCATCACCTGGTATGTACTCGAAATGTTAACGTTCGTTCGTCGGAAACGCTTACTAAAAATACCGGTAGGTTTACGCCATCGCGCCGGAAACTCGTCGTTTTTTTTATTCGTATCCGCAAGACTCGTCACTTTGGCATGTTGGAATTTATCGTAAAATTCCCGCAGAGGGATAGACGAAAATATATGTATAACCCCGATTTTTTTTTCGTATAAAATATCATATGCAGTCCATTACGCAATAATTATGATTAAAAATTATTATTTTATTATTCATTAAAATTTGTTATAGATTTTATTTTTTAAATATAAGATTTTTATGATTATCACATTTCATATTTTATTTTTCTAATTGGCGATAAATGAACAAAAATATATTAAAACCAAAAATGAAAGTATATAAGAGAAACGAGAAAAATATATTACTGAAATTAATATACTAGCTTCAGAAGGTTCTAATTTTCTGCTGAATTATGAAAATTTATATTTATAGAATTTTATTATTAGAGATACTAATTCCTATTAAATTATATTAGTTTTAATAAATGTTCAATCTTTTCTTATTTTCTGGACAAATTAAGTTTCTTTTTTTTTAATTGAGTTCTGAACAAATTAATCTTTGCTGACATATATTTATTAAGATATAAAAATATAATAAAATTTATGATAAAAAAATAAGAACATTTAGAAACAGAATACGATTATGTACACGAGAAGAGAATTTTCTCTTAGAATTTACTCTGAAAATCATGATAATCGTAAGACAATATATACGTGGTATTGAAAAAATTTTATAAGAGTTATTCTGATTAAATATTTACCACAATAAAAAACATTAGTATGTACATATAGTAAATTTTATTATGTACATAGTAAAATTAATTGAACATATTTTATATCTTATTGTGATAGATATTATCAGAAAAACTTACAAAATTCCAATACTATATTGTCCTACAATTATCATGATTTTAAAGGAAAATTTTAAGAAAAAATTCTGTCTATGTAGGTAATCAAATTACAAGATATTTTGCTAATTAAAATTAAAAGAAAATTCTTGATAAAATCGACTTAGTACAATCTTTTACAAATGAATAAATTAACTAACAATAAACGAATCAATTCATAATAGCTCTGGTAAAATACAGCTCTTAACGTTAAGAAAAAATATGGATGTATTGATTGATTTAAAAAAATGTCAATTTTGATATCTTCTAATAATATAGAAAAATTCTTACTAAAAAAATAAAGACATACTATATAGATTTCGACTTTCACAAAAGTGACATTTGTCTTTTTGTCTTCCTAATATGCTTTGCAATTTTATTGGACCGGTTTTTGACGCCGGCGATGCAATAGAAAAAGCCGATGCGGATCAGCTGCGTGTCTCTCTTCAGTAGTGACATGTCCATCTCGTGATCAAACGGCGATTCAAAGTGTCGGCACTCGAATGTATTCGAGTTAACAGCTCGAAACACCATTCTCGAGCTACCGATTAGCGATCGGCCAAATTAGATCATCCAACAACTTTTAACCAAAAGCTTTAATCGACATTCCAAGACTGATGATAATTTATTTCTCGCTTTTACAGCCGAATAGCGACTATTCTGTAAAAAAGATTGTTTTCCTCTGTTTGTACGAGCAAAAAATATTCATTATTTAATTAATGTGTTTAATTATAAACAATTATAAATGAGAAAAACGCGAATTGTTAAAATATTGAGACACCAATATTTTGACTTGACATACCTGTAAACTCTTTTGCTCGTCTTTTCTTTTGATTTTATACATTTTGAAATGTCTTTTATTTAATTTCGAAGACGACGACTTATGTCTAATGCGAGTAATTAATATCAATTTTGACATAAGAGTTTGTATCGAGGATTTAATTGTTTATTGATATAATACTAATAACATAAGATTGTCACAGGGGGATTTTGTATTACGTTAACGGAGTTTTTTAAAATTACTTAAAAATTTGCATTTTTAGAAGATTTTTACAATGTACTTAAATGTTACTTAAATGTTAATTCTAAAAAAAAAAAGAAAAAAGGCACTAAAAATAATAATTTTTACTTTCGATAATAAAATTAATGATCAAAGTAGATTCTTCTACGTACTTAGTACATATATAATATGAATTATGTGAGAGTTTCTCAAAACCTTAATTAATATTATAAACAGCAAAAATAATTAGAACATGCAACATGTATCACACTATTTTTCTCGGCAATAAAATCCAGAGTAAAAATGAAAATGAAGAAAAGTAATAATCTCACAATCATAAAACAGGCTGTAACATTTCTTGTGTAGTTCTGCTTTAAGTTCGTTAAAGCTTGCTTATTAAAATGCCAAACGCGTCTGTTTTCCTCTGAAGCAAGTAACGAAAATAGAACGAAATTGCACAGACAAGGATCCAAATTTTCATACATTACACTATCATAATTATATCTTTCATGGAAATTTTATTGTATTAAAAAGCAGTAGTATATTTGATATTTTTGTTCTATTGTAATTATTGTATTATTATATTATATATATTGTGTAAAGGATATAAAAAAAGTAAGAATAATTTTTTTAACTTTGATTCATGCTCATATTTTATAAAATTATCCTTTGTTTTACAAAACATTGTAAGAATTAAAAAAAATAATTTATATATTAAGATCGTTTAGAGGTCTTCAATAAATATTGCTATTGTTTTAATGTTTTAAAACAAAAAAGGATATTGTTAAAATAATTACTCATATCAGCACACACAAGTCAAACACAATCACAACAATTAATCATACGTAATTTCGAGAGTTCCATCATTAAATCAAGAATTAATCTAATAAAATAACATTATATTATATTATTTATTATTAGATCATTATTATTCATTATCATTATTAGATCATACTTATTTTTTTATTATTCATAAATATATATTTTAATTATTACTAAAAAATTTAAAGCATTATCGGGATGTATAATTTTTGTTAGAATAAAAAGTTCAATAATTTATATCTCGAGAAATTCTATGCATTTTATTCATTAGATAATAATTTTCGTTAACGGTTCATAAACCCGTATTCATCGTCAAATCCTATATTTAAGACTTAAGAGACGAGATGCGTGCGCACCTCCCAGGATGCGAACGAAGTGGAGAGATTAATCCACGAAATAAAAAAATTATATAGAGAGGCAACTTAGCAAATAGATTGGGAAAATTGCTTCGGATGACCGGATTGGTTGTCAGAATATTCAGTAAAATTCACTAGGGAGGTCTACCAATCAGGTCTAATAATAAAGGACGCCATATTGTACATTGAAATGTCAAAAATTATTTTGAGCTGTCATCTGTCACTTAGAATTTAGGTTATTGAAATACGCGTTCGAGATAAAAGATTTTAAATAAAATCAGGATGAACAAAGAGGATGATGAATTTTGGTTCAGTAGCGAAAAGCGATCTTTCTGCTTCGAAAACAACGAGGTCATAATCAAGATAAGTTATGTGATGGCAAATTTTCGTATTTTCCATAAAAGTTAAATTGCAGGTGGATCAGCTGTTCGGAGTGTCGAAAAACGAAACTCAAAAACTGTGGGCTGGAATTTCAGATAGATCTCTTGCCGAAAGTAATCTTAAATCTACAGATGATCTTCAAACGACAAAACCATTGTTCTCGATCATATCTGAAAAGACACTTTTATGTAGTATGTTGTCAGAGATATAAATGTTTATCTTAAAACTTGCCAGTGTTAACAAATATATTTAATGCAAAATTTTTCAGTTTTAGCTGCAGACAAGTCACTGGATGTAAATACAGAAACAACTATTGAACAGCCGGACATTACTTTGAGAAAGATATTGCTTGGTCGACCGTACTCGTTAGAACAATATAAGTCTCTCGCTAGCAAAACTGCCCTATTAGATGCTGCTATTTCAAGTGGAGATGGAAATGCTGTTTTGATAGTGAGTATATCTTTTATACAGCTAACAACAATTTTGCAGTATAATATTATTGCTGTAAAGAGTCGTTAACAAAATTCACAAACTCTATTTAATTCTATTATTTTATCATAACATTGCAGATAATTTTATTTCTTACAAAGACTTTGAAACGATCATTTGTTCAACGATTATTAGTAGAGAGACCAGAAGCAGTAAATATATATATACATTATCTTTTTATAAGACTGCAAACAAGTGAAATAACTGATATTTTAACGTATGTAATTTCTTAGTATATCATTGATTGAAAATTATCATTATTTTTCTCACATCCGATATTTTATAGAATGCTGGGTTATTCTTTGACTGCTGCTGTAAGTAATTATTATACATGCTACACAAATTAAATTACAATAAGTTTTAAGTATTTATACTATGATTTATTACAGATGAAGAATCTTCATATTATTCTAAAAAACACAAGAGATCCAAATAGACTGCTGCAAAAGCTTCACAATTGTCAGAAAGCACATTTTGCTATGTTACCTGATTGTAAAGAAGCCACATTTTTGGACTCTTACATTAAATTATTGGGTATGCTTATAAGTATTCTTTTTCACTGTGACGTGACAAATTATTATTTTTATATTGTAAATTGTTAGAATGGCAAATGACGGTTAAACATAACAAGGACAATGAAGAGCTGCCACTGAACTCTTCTATTCGAGAATCTCTGCATTATGCATGCAAACATCACTGCAATACACCAAACACATTTGTCACGATATCACCCACAACGCTCTCTCGAGACCATGACATTTCTCCTAGACTGCATCAAAAAGTCGCTTTACAAGTTAAAGCCGCCCACGGAAAATGGGACGACATCGATCGTTTGCTTTTAACAAAAGTAATGTATTCTGTCTCATAACTTTTGTTTTGTTCATTAAAATCATGTTTTATTGTATCAATTATATTTTAGGGAATACTTGGTAATACAAAGCTACAGACGCACATGTACATAGAGGATATTTTGAAAGTACTGTACAAACACAATGCAACATGCGCCGTTCTCGAAAAGTATTTAAAATTCGTCGACAATTTAGAGAAACGATTGGAGTTGGCAAAGAAATTATCCTGTCATACAATAATAATCGATGTATGTATATATATTTTTATAGGAATGAATTTATAGCAACCAAGAGCATGTTACAGAATTACATATTAATAAATTTTACAGATATTTGTGCAACAAGGGGACCGCACAATGCTGATGGATTACAAAGCGAAATTGCAACCTCAATCAGAAGAATATTTTTATGCTGAAAGTGCATTACGTTTGCCACATGTCAAATGGAAGAGTTAAGTCTGTTGAACATATAATTAATAAATTAATAAACATAAAAGATATATGTAATTATGATATTTTTCACAATTTAGAAAAAATATATTTAATATATTTAAATATAAAAAAAATTCACAGTTAAAGTTTTTAAGGTTTTGACATCTTACACACTTGTATTGTTTGTTGTTTGCTCGGAAATATTAATAGAAACTATTTATACGAAAATAATCATAGATTACATGACAATTTAAATACCAAATAAGCAATGTCTGGTAATGTTTGTCATACTTGATGATAATTTATATGAATATAATGTCGAGATTTTTCCATAAATATCACTTCCCTTCAGAAATGTTATTGTATATCTAATTTTTTATTTGTAATCAAAGAAAATTAAGTTTTAAAAAGAATACTTTTTACAAAATCAGTACTTACGATTACTAATACATAAAAATATCAATGCATGCTGAGTTTACGGTATTATATAAAGATTTTTATTTTTTTTTTAAATATATTTAGTCAAATTAGATATTAATCAGAAAAATTTTTATTAAATAATAATCTATTGTTAACTCTCTCTAATTAACACCATTATTATATGTAATAACTTAAATATATAAAAATTTAATAATTTTTAAATATTATTCTCTATTTCTTTTCATTTAAATCTCGTGCTCAAACTAATTCGAGATGGTTATTTTTTTCCAGTTAGAATCCCCTAGGAGAATTTTATTGGACATCCGTCAACCATGTGAACGTGGCTTGAAGTCGACAAAATAATCGCCCAAAATTACATGTCCACAAACCATCTAGATTACAGCTGTATTCTTTTGTCGGCCGAGCGCATCTCCTGGGTTTTCGATTTTGTTCCACGTGGTGAAGCGGCCCCTCGAGCTCGTTGCGGAACGTCGACTCTGCGCGTCGCGTGGAGTTTGGAAAAAAAACACCGTGCTCGGTGACAAGAAGAGAAGAAAAGAGGAAAGGAGAGAGAGAGAGACGCCAGCCAATCGCGCGCAAGGGAACCGTTAGAAGTTTCCGTTGTGTGTGCGCGTTTGAACGATCTAGTGCACATTTGTCATCTGCGAAGAACCACTCCCGGTTGTTCCCGGTTGTGTTGTTGTGTCCGTCGTCGCATCTTTCCTCTCGGTGAGTTGCACATAGCCGATCGCGAACCCGGAAAAATCGGGATTTCTCCTCCTCGCGAGAGAGGTGCATAAATTAGAGGGCGAGTCGGAAGAGATTCTCGGCACGATCCGAACTCGCCAAACTGAGCTGAGGAATGCCGAATATGTCGCGAACGCGAGACAATTTCGTAGCAAAAAAAGTGAATGGAATGTTGTCCCTCTCGCGATCCTCTTGACTTCGATCGCCTAATTGATGTCGCCGATCGCGCGCTGGCGAGTTGCAAATTCGACGTGTCGCATCGAAACTTCGATTTTTCGAGGACTTTATTTATATCGAGTATCCGGCGCGAATCGTGATCGCGATTTTTATCAATATTTTTTTGTTAATTTTGCTTAGTATATAAGCTGACGATAATTTATGATATTGCGATATTAATTTTAAGATGTATTGTTTGATTATTATGGTCTTATTTTATTCCGCTTGGATTATTTTATTAATATTGCATATGTTTTCCCAGTTGGAGCAACAAGCAAAGCAACATGGCTGTTAACGTCTACGCCACGAATATGACATCCGACAATCTCAGTCGTCATGATATGCTAGCGTGGGTTAACGACTGTCTCCAATCTTCGTTCACCAAAATCGAGGAGCTGTGCACTGGAGCGGTTTACTGTCAATTCATGGACATGCTCTTTCCAGGCAGTGTACCTTTGAAAAGAGTCAAATTCAAGACCAATCTGGAGCACGAATACATACAGAATTTCAAAATTCTTCAAGGTGGCTTCAAAAAGATGAATGTGGATAAGGTAAGACAACAGCTGTTTTCTTTTCTACTAGAGATTTGACAAATCCAGCTTAAGAACAGCAAAACATATGTAAGAAGGATATCTAGTTAAACATATATATATATATATATATATATATATATATATATATATATATATATGAAAGATAACTTTAAAAATCATATATTGAACATTGTAACATTATTTCATATTTTTATGTCTTTTCTATTCACTGGCAATTATCAGGGATTGTAAAAGAAGTACAATTGAGGAACAAATATGTTTGATGAATCTAAGAAATTTATATTCATCTATATTTATATAATCATTAATATGTTATATGTAAAAATAGATCAATTATATTACTTATGTATCACGAAGATTATTTTGAGCAGTTATAATGCGCACAATATAAACTAATAAGATGTTGCATCGAGATCTAAGATACATCTATGCGATGGTATTTATTTTTGGGAGAAGGACCTGTGTGTGTAAGGAGGAAATCGTAATAATAATAATAATAATAATAATAATCATGGGAACGGTTCAGGTAATACCGGTGGACAAGCTGATAAAAGGGCGCTTTCAGGATAACTTTGAGTTTCTACAGTGGTTCAAAAAGTTTTTCGACGCGAATTACGACGGTCGTGAATACGATGCATACGAGGCGCGCGGCTGCATACCGCTAGGTTCCGGCGTGGACGGAACGCACAATTTGTCGAATCCCCAGTTGGTACCCTTGCCGCCGCAATCGAGGCAGCCGCAAATGCAACAAAAACACATACAGCAACGTAACATCATGCCGCGGCAGCAGCAGGGTATATCGTCGTAGTCTCGATTTTTTTTACGCGGCCGCTTCTTGCATGACGTTCACAACAAATGTTTAAGTAATAATGTTTTTGTACACAACGCTCATACACACGTATACACCACATGCATATACATACACGCATATGTGCATCTTAAAAATCAACTTAATATGCGCTCGTTTACAATAGTATAATATATATTGCAATCTGTAGTATCTCTCACTCGATTTTGTATTATTTAATCGATACACATTAGATGTATTATGAACTATTTTTATAATATCACACATATAAACACATGTACTTCACCATATATGCACTCTTTAATTTGTACATTATAAGAAAATCTAGCAAAACTCGCACAGAAGTCAATCTAATTTGACTGAAAAAGATTTATAGAAAGATACATAGCATACTTTTATGTACATAAAAAATATGCTATGTATCTTTCTATAAATCTTTATATATATATGAAATAATTTCGTACATAAAAATAGGATATTAGTTATTTGATTTTATATTTGCATTCTAATTTATTATAGAACAAGAGAAAGAAAATTCCAGGATCTATAAATTTATACAAGGGGCAAAGAATGATTAGGAAATGTAGAAGAAAGAAACTATTTATTTGATTTGTATCTCTGATTTTTTTATAACAATATTATATACAATGATATATTAGTTATTGTAACAGATAAAATCATGATGTGATGAAATTAACTTATTACTTTACTCTTTGCATATCATCGCAGTATCATCGCGATAAAAAACGTAATGCTTTCTTATAATATTATGTTAAAAATGATAATTTTTATGTGTAAAATCATGTGTTTGCACATCCATTTGGTATAATTTGTTCACATTTCTTATGTTTGATTTTATTTTGCACACACACACCCTCCTCATTTGCAGATTGTGCCAATTGATAGGCTGGTGAAAGGCAGATTCCAAGACAATTTTGAGTTTTTGCAATGGTTCAAGAAGTTCTTTGATGCAAACTACTCAGGAGCAGATTACGATGCGCTTGCTATGCGTGGCGGAGAGCCTATGGGTAGTGGCGGAAATAATGCACCTCGTGGTGGTTCTAATGTGAAACGTGCTTCTCCACGTGAAACAATAAATTTGGCTAAGCCTGCTCCTCGTACTACTGGTACATAACTTGATAATCTCTCTCTTTCTCTCTCTTTGATTATATGAAAAAGTTTGTCTTAACCTTATTAAAAGAAAATAGGATCTGATAGAACAAATAATCTTTTCTCAAATATAACTTCAAATTTGTACATTAACACAGATTTCTACTAATTGATAATTATTGACTTGATTGTCTTTTGATGTGTCCATTTGACTGATCTTACTATAGGCGATTATTAACATTACATGAATGAATGCTGTGTCAGCAGGATTAAACTTTCATATTAAATTATTTTATTAAAAATTTCTGTGATATTTCTCAGGTATGTTCTCTATGGATAGGATATAAAGCATTACTACTACTGTTCTTGTGACAAATAATGTGGTAGTGATGGTTTATATCTTATCTATATAGAGACCTGTGTAGGAGTTACATATATATTTCTTATTACTCTAGACATTTCAAACAGAAGTTTCAATTGTGGGTTATTACATAATATATTATCAATAATTTGAAATGGAATTTGCCTTTAGGTGAGGGACATCCATCTTCCATGCGTGCAGATAGTACAAACATTTTAGGTGAAATTCGATCTCTTTTTCCGTTTTTAATTGTAATTCTCGTTTTTTTATACGTTTTATTTCCTTAGTTTTGTATATGTTTTAGTTTTGATATATTTACAAAAAAAATGGGATAAAAAAATAAAAGTATATTCCTAGTTTGTGTTTAGAAATAATGTCAAAAGTCTTAATTCCATTAATATCACAACATTAATATGTGAAAAAGCCAAGTATTGAAACAAAAATTTGATCAAGATATAATTAATCAAGAATGAGATACTTTTGTATGAAATATTTTACATGTAGTTAAAATATATTGTCCCCTCACACAAAGTGAACTCTGAGGCAATTGCCATAGCCTTCCACTAGTCTATGATTATCTTTATTAACACTAGTCTGTAGCTGGTATCACTATCAATATACTTGTTAACACACTGTATTATAAAATTAAGATGTAATATTTTAACTTCAGAAACACTTGCCTTGCAATTCTCTTTCATAGTAGAAATATTTTAATATTTTGTACATATTTCTTTTTTGTAAGGTATATTATTACGATTGTGAGAAATACACATATATACTGTGCATGATTTTAAAACAATTCCTGCATGCATCTTTTTGCTTTCCACAAATATAGCTTATATGTTCAAATCTATAATTTTGTTAATTCTTTATACAAGTTATAATTGTGACATATAAGTTATTTCCATTCCAAAAATATTATATTAATAATTACTTATAACACAGTATTTTAAAATAATGTATTTTTTCTACAGTAAATAAAGTTCAACAACAGTATCGTGCGCCACCTAAAAACACAGTAGTCGGCAGTCGTGGTGATACTGGAAAGGTTGAAGAACTTAGTGCACAGGTATGTTATTTACACAATTATTTCATTTAATAATTATTTAGAGAAATGTATTTGTAAATATGTATTTTTCGTACATATCTTCTCTCTTTCCTATCGAAAGTTTATCCTAACAAAATGTTTCAGTTGGTCGAGTTGAAGATGTCAGTCGAAGGTCTAGAAAAGGAGAGAGATTTCTATTTTGGAAAACTACGTGACATTGAAGTTATGTGTCAAGATTGCGATAACGGCGGCGATCCTCCACCTATTGTACAAAAAATTTTAGAGGTTCTTTACGCAACCGAGGTAATTCGTACTGTTCCTTCCGATTTACTTAATTGTTAATTTTTAATATAGTACAACTAATTTATATCTTTGTTTTAATTATATAATCAATTTAAAAACCTATTTATTTTTATTAATAATTAATAAACATGATAAATTCTGTATATAAGACATGATAGCTACAAAATTATAATTTATATTTATTGAAAAGGCATTGACACATTTTAATTGCTTACAATTTAACAAAGCGCATTAAACATCTATACTTTCCTCTATATATACAAAGATATTGATAATTAAAAGCAAAATTAAAATTTTATAATTTTAATTAAAATTGAGGCTTATATAAGACTATGTGATGCTACAATATTATAGGAGGATATCCAGGATTTAAAAGAACATATAACTGTGGTGAAATTATAAGCACTATTTTTTTATATGTTTATAATAGACGCGTTCTTTCCAATAAGGTAATGAGATTGTTTTGGGTATTTTGATCGTATTCGTATTAGTAATGTACAACTTTGATTGCATTCGTATTTGTTAATATACAACAAAAAAGTAAGAAAGATCCATGACATTCACATTAAAAATATTTTCTGATTGTTTTGTGATTGTTACATCTAGAATTTTATTTCGTTTATAATTTAACTTGACATTTTCTTGAATATGTCATAAAATTTTCAATTAATCGCACGATTGTATCATGTGTAATATAAATATCAATACTTTTACCTCATATCTTTATATATTATATGTTTTTGTACATTTAAAATCGTAGAAATACATTAATAATTAAACTAGTAATTATGTACATAGAGATTAATTGTAAGTGTTATTCAAACTTCTTTTATTATAATAGCCATTATACAACACATTAATAATTAAACTAGTAATTATGTATATATAGACTAATTGTAAGTGTTATTTAAACTTCTTTTATTATAACCATTATACAACATTTGACAAATTCACGTTTTGTCTTTACAAATTTGAGCTTAATATTTTTTTCTCATTGATATAGGTACGCGAGTAATATTTTTAATATAATAAAATATATAAATTTATCTTTTAATGTTTTATTTATTAGAAGTTTATAATATTTTTATATTTGATAATTATGCACATGATTAAGAGATATAGAATAATGAACTTACAATAATAAGAGATATTGTCTCGGATAAATATAATATCTACAACACATTTATATCTTTTCAGGACGGTTTTGCGCCACCCGAGGAATTGGAAGGAGACGGGCTTGCGCCCGATGATGAAGAGGAATATTAACCCTTTTTATTTACGGATGTGTAATCGAAATGAATAACAGCAAATTATCCAAGTGCGTTTCGGTTTATTATGCCTGTGAACCAATATACATAATTATTAAGCTACTTTACATCAGTAAACTCGGCAGTTTTAGCGGATTGTGTGTGTGCATTCGTTTCACAAATAAAATTCACCGAAATCATAAGATTAGCACGACATTAGGATAGACATAAGTCGAGTAGTGCACTTGAATAACTTGTTCTGACTGTTGAGAGGATAAGAGAAAGAGAGGATAATTACAGAAAGAAAATCAATTAATAATCTTTCAACAAATTATTACATTTCCTTATAGCATTACGATGTGGTAGAGTTCCGAAGATCGATCAATGATTCTCGAATTTCCGCTAATTTATGGGGAATATCTAATGTTATTCTGCATCCGTTACGTAGTGACTTACGTTAATTACACTTTTTTTAATGCGTGTTTTGTTTGTAAATGTATTAAGTTTGTATCGAGATAACGAGTCGCGCGAAGCTCTCGTCCCACCTCCATCCCCATAGTTTTGTCTTTTAAAATATATTTGTAGTTATCTATAATAATGTTAATGCCCCGAAAAACTCAGCCCAGAGCTATTCAATCTTCGTTCGACTTGTTTTCTTTGTGCGGTGTGCTCTCTAATGTGGCTGATGCACTCAGCGATTTTTGCGCTGAGCAGTAGACTTTTATTCTGTCGGTGGAAATAAAAACTCTTGGATATATATAAATCATGTTAGAGATTAAAATTCAATTTCACTTTATCGACATACTTATTTCTACATCTTGTCAACACACAGAAGCTACCGTATAATATATTGGTAGAGACATAAAAATTATGTACTTTGGTTTCGCTAAATGAAACTGTGCGCTACTAAATTGTAAAAATTTGAAAGTTTTTTTTATAATTAAAGTTAGAATTCATATTGAAAGATATTCATCTATTGAAACGTTTAATCCCGTATAAATCAATTTTATAAAAAAAATTAAAAAATGATCATGTATGCATCTCCATGACAGTCTATCGAGATGTGAAGAATGGCCTTAAAAAATGCGGTGGACTCATCGAGATTCCGATAAAATATTCTGAATCGTACAAAGCGTTTCTTCAATAAAAATATCATCTATTTCAAAGTATCACCAATTAAATGATGCTGCTGTATTTCATTTTCATAAAAAAAAAAATTAAAATACGATTCAAGAGCAGACGCGAGTGAGAGGGAAAAACGAGCGAAAGGATTATGGTATGTAGATTTTTGCGCGAATGCTTGTCTTTTTAGCATGTGTGTATGCGTGTGTGTGCGCGCGCGCGCTTTCGATATTATTGATTTCGATTGTCAAGATCGAGATTGATCGCGTAAGAATCAGATTAATTTCAAAAGAGCGATCGCATTGTGAATAATAATTGTCTGATTAGGATGTAATTCGCACTACGTACTACTAAGTCTTTACTAAGTTCTAGCGAGAAGAAGGGATACAGTTTTTGGCTTGCGCTCTGTTCATCGCTCTGTACGTGCGCATATGTGCTTCGAAATTTGAAATTTTAATGCCGATGTAATAAACGTTTAATAAAATCGATCCGAGAAAGGAAGAACTCGAGAAGCGGATTGTTTTCAAATCCTTGAATCATTTCGAGATTATTTTACATATTTTACAAATCAACAAAAATATTAGTCATTTTTTTATAGTCTTTGAATAAACATTTTTACATCAGAAATAAAAAAAAAAATTATCGGTTATAAAAAATTAATCTCAATAATAGGAATGACATAACAGCAGAAACCTGTTGTTATATATTATTGCAAAAAATGTTATAATCGTAAATGTGTCTGCTCATAACTAAAGTCAAGAAAATACGTTTCGCGAATAAGTATGAAAATTGTAAAAAATTTGGTACATGTTTTAATTTGTTTCACATGATAAATTTTTTTTTTTAGTCGTGATATACTCTTCTCTGTCGACAAATTCTACTTTTCTCCGAATCTTGTATTTAGTTAAAATCTGCGATGCGTTTTTTTCCTCTGCTATTTTGCTAGAAATATTGTAATTTATTGTGTGAAAATTCGTGCGCAGAATCGATTCAAAATAAAAAATATATCGCGTGAAGCTAATTTTTCGGGTCCGAATGTCGTCGACGGACCCTTAAGCGCCGCTTACAATTGTTACGCCACTGTTCGACGAAGCTTGGAAACTTCTGGTCTCCCGGTTTGCTCCGAGTATCTCGCAGTGAGAGTCTCGGCGCGTGATCGAGTACTTGTCAGGAGTACAGCTTCCGCTACCGCCGGTTTAGAACGTTGAGTAGTATCACGTGGCCGCGTGGTGAAGATCACTGTCAGCAGCAGCAATCCGCGCCTTCATCTATTCTTCGTATCTATATCCCTCCATCAAAATCTTCCAAAAGGAAGAAATTTCTTCGCATCTTCAACGAGGTAAATTAATAATATTAAATTGAATTTAAAGATGAGTAAGATATCGTGAAAATTATACGCTTTGCGTGTAGATGTTCATCGATATAATATATGAGAAAGTTTCTTATATTGTTTTTTGCGAAAACAGAATATGTGTGCATGATACGATATAATTAAAAATTATATGTATCTATAAATTTTATAATTCAAAAGAAAGATTGAATTGATTCGAGATTTCTGCTATGCTATATAGAGAATAATTAGCATCGAAATCACTTACTGGAGATTTATATGTATATTGACCAGTCTGTTCGATGCTAATTCAAAATATGTCCTTTCTGACCTTTAAAAACATTAAACATAGAATCGCGAGTTGAATTATCGATTAGATATTAACGAAGTTGATGCCGAAACAAATTAGTTACAGATTTATAGACGGAAGAAATGAATAGTTTGCATTCATAATTAATAATTTAGATTATTATTATTTAAATTTTAATAATGTTTATCTTTGCAGAAAAACTTTACTTTATCGTTAAATAATATAATTATGAGATAATTATAAACGATTTTTATATCATAATCAAAAATATAGAATATTAATATTTTATCATATATATATATATATGTGTATGTATGTATATATATATCTAATATTTTAATTTTGCAAAAGAATACTTCAAAGAATAAAATAGAGTCGCGGCTGTATATAATCTCTAACAATTGGTATTTAAAAAAATGTTTAATTTTGTTAAAATAATTTTTACACTGTTCTCGAATAATTCCTACGTACAAACACATACATATACATATATATATATCCAGAGTTTTTATATTATGTTGATAGACACGAGATTTGACAGTCAACAAGACCTGCTGTACAAATCAAACAAAAACACGATAAAAACCGAAAAGACAAACACATCGTAACTACGATAACCAAATGACCGATGTAAATATGAGTGAGTAAGTACGATAGTAGAATTGAGTTGTGGAAGTTTTTGTACTAGACAGTCCACAGACACAATTCTTTATTATCGCTCCGTTTGGCACGCGACGCAAACATTCTAAGATTTACTATTTGACAGATTCGCGAAATCTCGAAGAGAACGAAAGAAAATATTCTTTCATATATATATATATATATATATATATATATGTTACATTTCTTTATTTTGTGTGTGTGCAAATTTTGCTCTCAAATATATGTAGCTGAAAAAATTAAAGCAAAAAGCTGGGCAAAGTTCAATTATCATTAATCTGCTATTAGATATATTACACATAAAAATATTACAATTAAGAAATTTGCCCCCGATTACTAATTAAATCCATTAATTTTACATAAGAAATTTTTTATCGGAATAAAAATTGCGAAATTAAATGTTTTAACGCAAAGTCTTTCTTTCTCTTCTCCTCTTATCGTATAATATACACATTACTTGTTGAAACGTCTTCAGCATCCATCGCAACAAATTATTCCGTAATATTCCCTGCCATCGAGTTTGACCCAAGAAAGAGAAACATTAAATTGTTTTTATCTAACTTTTAAATTACATGTGAACTTTGCATATGAAGAAAATGTCATTGATAAAGCAGAATAAAAAAAAGTTGCCTCGTCAGTAAATTGCTTATGTATCGTGCGCATTTATATAGTATATGTGTCATGCACGTTCGGAATGCGAAAAGATCATGAACGCGTGCTCTCACGATGTTTCATCAAAAATACAAAAATTTGCCGCTGCAACCGCGGAAAGTGCGATTAATCTTATTTAAAAAATCAAAGTAGATTAAAGCAAAATATGTTGTCATACATATAGTTCAGAGAGGGAGTATGTTGCAACCCGTTTAAACAAAAATCACCATCCTCATCCCTCGTTTGGCTTAAAAGATATATTTCACCTGTCTTTCGAAATATAAATTGGTATATGTACCTATATATAAATAAATGAAATAAAATCTCTCCTATATTGAGACGTGTTCGCAAAATATACACTGAACAATTAGAATAGATAAAATTACACGTTTGAATTAAAATTGAAATATTTTAATAATAATTTCTCGTGAATATGTCCTACATTTGTAGGATTGAGATATTAAATTTAAAGATTAAATTTATCGTCAGTCAATGCTTGCGCAAAAAAATTCTCAAGATGCGAAAATCGTCAATATTGCTTCGCGAGAATAAACTGCGCGTATAGATTATTGTTATCGTAAAAGTTCGTGAAATCCGCAACTTGCTAGATATTCCTGTAAAATATTTAATTTATCCAGCGATCATGTGCATATTGTATTTTGCAATGAGAATACGTCGTTACTGGGCTTTCTTTCGGCGTTCCGCCCTGATAAGACGAGGTCGTGCCTCATCGATAGCAATTTATCATCATTTTCTTTCTTTTATTGTCTATTTTACGTATCTGAGTCATTAGGACTTAACTTGAGTCGGACTTAAAAGATTCAATGGGAGAGAGATTATGTTGACGATCATCGGCGAATCGTACATAAACATATTACTAGACTGATTTGCCTATCGTCAAAATAAAGAGAGTATATAAAGTTATAAATAGTATAGTTATATGTTACGTCAATCAACGCGTATTATCATTATCGAAAATCTTTGAATAAATATATAGGTTTACAAGTCATGTGAGAGAAGAGAATTTATACCAGAGAAAATTTTCTCAGAACAATAGATTTTATATATTTAGAAGTTATTTTTTCTTTTATTCTGTTTTATTATAGGCTTCAACAGTTATAATTTTGATAATTAATATATATAAATATACATTACATAAAATATAATATTATATAAATATATGTATAAAATATAATTATAAATATATATCAGTTTATATATGTATATACACATGTATTAACTCGCATTAAAATTAAATTTATAAACAGGCCGTTCGTTCATTGTATTTAATATTTTTTCCAGGCACTGTGATTTAACTTCCGACATAAACATGGCCACGGAATACGAGGATTCGTCGGACACAGTGAGTATTCCAAAATTAAATATCCGCAGAAATATGCGTCGAAATGAGCAACTGATTGATCTGAAACAAACGTCCTGTTCACTCCTTCGTTAGACAATCGTGGAAACGTCGAAAAGCGATTGCGACTGCTCGGAACTGAAATTGCTGCAATCGATGGTGGTGCAAAGCTCATTGAGTCAGGCAGCGCTGAAACTCGCGGACAAGTTTCTCTGGACCGTGGAGAAGTGCGCGGAATGGAGTCTACCTGGTCAGAAGTTCGTTGCTTTAGGTACGATCCATAAATCGCGCGATCAATCGATAGATTTATACTCCGAACTCGCGCTCCTTTCAGACGAAAATGGAAAAGCCTCGGAAAAATTGGAACTCGTGAGACCGTTGCCGTGGATCTTATTCCTGCCGAGTTTGGTGATGCTGCGTACGATCAGGATAACGATGAACATAGGCGCCTTCGTCACGGGTCGCTCCCAAGTCACGCCGAGTGGAATAGTACGTTTTTATACTCATAATTTAATACTCGTTAAGGTGCCTTTTCATACATAGTATACTGCAGCAACAAATCGGTCACGTGATCAACATTTATTAGAGCATATTTCTTTGTTCTCTTATTATTTCAAGATTAAAATTACGATTTTTGCTTTTATATCTTCATAATAATCTATTTTATTCTTAAAATCCATTATTTAATTAATATAATAATAATAATAATAATAATTAGAATCAAAACTAGTTGCGTGTTCTTCTGCTTTGCTGCCTTTGCTGTTCGTTCAATTAAACTTCACCAATAGCAACAAACTGCTGCGGCAGCATGCTGCACATGAAATGGTACCTTTATGCATCATTTTCGCGTCAATGAGGAAATAATAAAGCAGGTTTTATATATTCTGCACTGATCTCCCCATCGCGCAGCTTTATAAAATTCCGACAAATATTACTTTGCTACTTGGCTATTCAGAAATTTCCGTCCTCTTTATCGCTCGTCTCGTTTATCATCCGCTAAACGCTTCAACCTTGACAGGTAAAATTCGTGCAGCTAAGTCGCAGACGACTGAATGACATAAGGAATAATGGAGCGAGGGAGAAACGGGACAAGGTAAGAACATATCGCGCTTCTTCCAATCGATAAGGAACGCGAAGAAACGCGTTTCGCTCCTTCGGAGAGACAATGGGATTAATAGTCACAATAATAGTCTTGTGGTGATGGGTGTAGGATGAGAAATTGTCGATGTACGAGGCCAGGAAAGCCCTCATCAGATCCATTCGTCTGACCTTGTCGAGTCTGTCCTGTCTGGACACGTCCAAACCCACCCCGTCGCCACCACCCACTAAAATTCACGTTAGTAGCGCCCTCGATCCCAATGCAGTAAGTAGAAAGCATCGAATGTAAATTTGTGTATATCGATGGGCATGCAATTTTTCTTTGTATATATGTCTTTACAACCAGTTTTTCAAAATATCACCTTTTCTGTTTTTTTTTTTAATTATACTACTGTCTTTAATTTTTGTATCTCTTGACATATTTTGCACATTTCTGCAATGGGATTCTATGTTTCTAAATATTTTTATACAAGGAATGCGATGTCTTTTTCACGAGTTCTTACACGTAGAAAATTTTGAGAAGATTATCAGAAAGTATTATTATTTGGTGAAAGAACGAGACATTTTTTTCAAGGAGACGACAACATCGGAAGAAAAATCAGTGACCGAATCAACAGATGCTACAGAGAAGGCAGAACACTTGATAAGTGATATCGAATCGGAGGAGGATGAAAAGGATGAAATGGAGGATGAGCAGGAAGAGACGGAGACTCTGGAAGAGAAGGAAACTCTGGAAGAGAAGATCAATCGACTTGCCTTGGAGAGCAGCGACGAAGATGAGACTTTCGATGTGAGTAATCGAGATGTGACAAGTGAATTAGACTCTCCCCTCATTCATTAAGTAACCATCTTATTTAATAAAAAAAATCATTTATTTCCCTCATTTATTTCTTACGTGAAATAATTCGCATTTTAATCCTCTCGTCGAAGTAACGTTAAAATTAGCGTCTCGTATTCAATTTGCAAACTCGAAGGAGACTCGCTGATTCGACGTGACCCTCCTTCGTCGACAGATAGCCCGCGACGACTTGGACGATATACATACTTTGTTCGTTTCATTTATAATTTATATTTGTGCCTTCGCCTGATAGGGAAAAGATTTATCTGGCCACGTTTCAGCTATCGTCTTTTTCAGCCGGCCAATTGCAGCGTTTCGAGCAACGAGAGCGGCAACGAGGACAACGAGGACAATGACGACGAGGTCGGCAAGGACGACAGTAACGTGTCCTCGAGCGAGCTTCGCGATATCATCGAAGACAGGGAGACGATGAAAAATGAAATCGAGCGTTTTCAGGATGCCGAACGAGCATCCTCCGACCAGGTAAACTAAATCGTCGACAAATGCTTTGTGGAAGGAGGAATACGTCGTTGCCGAAAATTGAGAAATCGATTCTTTGATAGTTTCGGGTAATTCAGCGCATAAGCGAGAAAGTGCATAAAAACACCACCGCATTTGCTTCGACAAATTTCGTTTCAATTTTCTGTCCCTCACAACAAGACTGATGATGAAAAATATTATTTAATTTATGAAATTTATTTAATTTATATATATGTAATTAATAGTTGTATATATAATTATAATTATATATATAATTAATAATTGCAATTTTTCATTATATATATAAATTCAAACAATTTACATATAAAATAATTTGAATATATATATATATATATATATATATATATATATATATGTGTATATATATATATATATATATATATATATATATGTATATGTATATATTTAAATATACATACATATGTCGCTGCTTTTACACCCGCGAATTTTCGCACGTGACGCAAATCGAACATCGGTATCGAGGAGCGGTTTATTTCTTACGACGCTTTAGGGACAGGGTACGTAAATGTTCAACGTGCCTGTTCAACGAATTTAGAGATCGCCGATCGAGGAGAGCCGCGATAAGGTAGAGGAGCGCCTCTCTCAGCGTATCGACTCGCCCACGTGTTATACACCTGACAGGTCCAGCCAAGAGGGCGATCCAATCTTCTACTCGCCGATCAGCTCGGACAGTGATACACCGAAGGCGCCGATCGCCGAGAGTAAGTGATTCTGCGTCTCCCGATGTAGCTGCTTCGCGTGGTGTTTATTTTTCTTATTTACGTTTTTATTTATTTATTTTTTTTACGCTACTTTCTCGCCTTCTGCTTCGCTTGCATGTGCATTCGCTTTCCGCGTCAGCAAAATTGGCTTTCCAATCATAGGACAACTCATTCAGTTATTATGCATATATAATGAACAAGCAAGTTCGTCGATGACTGGTTGCTTTCAATGTCATTAATGATGATTGGCGTTATTAACAATTATATATAGAGTACTCTATAATTGATGGTACAATCGCTAAAAAGATAACAGTTTTACGTGGAAAAAATTAAATAAAAAATGTAGAATAAAATTTTTCGAAATTTCTGAAAGTATTAATATCATATTGATCAGTTTTAAGCTTAAAAGACCTAATTTTTTGAAGAATCGTTATCTTTTAGGTTGTCGATCATTAATTGCAGGGTACTCAATGAATATTATTGAAATGGAGGCCGCTATCGGCAAAATTGTTTCGCACGTGATAATGATATTATAGGTTGCATTAATTAGCAGGAATTTCATTGAAGAAAAGTAACGCGGTTTTTTCTCTTTCATCGCATTGTTTTAAAGTATTTAGATTATTTTATCGGTGACCCCGACATACGAGACGATCGAAATAAAACGGCAATATAAATTACACAATCGAGAGAATAATTCGACTCTTGACTTTTTTTGAGAGAACATTTTGTACAAAATTGATCCTAAAATGTGAAACGCAAACTATCTTTTTATTCTGGCGCTATGAAAATTCACGACACTGAATCCTGTAAAATCGATTATATTTAATTCGTCATTTATTGTTTTGATAAATTATTCAAAAAAAGAAAGCTTGAGAAAACAAATATATGTACGAAATGAGTTCGATGATAATTATACAACTAATTTAAGAATTGAGAATTTTGTAGAGTAAAGCACTAATAATCACATAGAATAATCATTGAACATATATTTTTTCGACGAAATGCTTTCGCAACTGATCTAAGGCTATATAAAAATGTATCGTGTATTTAAATAAATAAAGTCAATTGTATTCACATGATTAATTTGTGCCTAGAACGCGTCTCGAGAGACTCCCTAAAGACGAACGAGTATGTCAATGGTGAAATACATTTCATCTCAGCATCAATGATTTCAGGTACATAGTCAATTGGCATGAGCTGGCTTTTCTTTTCGCTACGTCGCTAAAGCCATTTAATTCCTATTCAGATCGTCTGACAGATTCGACTTTTATTCTCTTTCGGCAGAGTCGAAGACGTCCGGAGAGACCAACAATGGCACGGTCGTGGAGAAACGTAGCACAAACGTGAGTAAATGTCACAAGGGTAAACGCACGAGTCACGGCAATCGCAGGAAAAAATAAAATCAACGGGAGCAATACAGGGGACCGAGAGAGAAAAGAGGGTGGGAAAGAGAGAATAAAAAGAGCTTAAAGCCTTCTCTTCGGAAAGAGAGTCGATTGTTATCAGTGATACAATATTATCCCACGTATCGAACGTCATCGATGGTTACGCAATTATGTCGAGGGATTAAGTACGATTTGGAATAGAGATATAACTCTTTGCTTCGAGCGCAATCGCTGAGATATAATAAAGATATCGGGCTATCGATATACACATTCTTGTATAAAATTTTCGACCTCATCAAAAAATTGCCGAGTTATCTTCTCAGTTGCTCGGTAATTATTGTTTTGTGGGGGAGAAAAAAATTATTCAACGATTCAGGAATGTTTTGTCGAATTTTTCGACGTTTTGCGATGTTTCTCTAAAAAAAAAAGGAACCGATCCAAAGTTGTTATTATCAATCTCGCCTTTTCTCTTTCGAGAATAATTACAAATTGCGCAAGAAACGAAAGAGGAAAAGGATAAAAATCGTTTGAAATTTGGGATAAGATGATATTGATGAGGGAATCGAATTAATTGGACCATCGGTCGATTAGACGAGCAACCCGGAGTGAATTCCTGATTATTTTCACGCGAACCTTCGATCCAACGATAAACTTCACTCCGTTTCTAGATGGAAACTTTGTCTAGACAAGCGACAACAAACACGACTGCATCTAAATCGTGGCCATGCGTTCAAAGTACGCGTCGAACATTATTATCGTACTTACTTACTTAGACGCAACAACGCGTCTATCTCCGAACGATTACATAATTGCTGATGGTAAATTGTACGTATTTTGTTTCTTCGATACGGTAATGGCAAAAATGCAACGTGTACGAAAATGTGACTAAAGTCTGCGTGTTATCTTTAAAACTGCTGCTTCAACTGGTTTGCTCGGATATACACAACGCTTATTTATGTAATAACATCCGTGCAGAAATGATATTATTATGTCTTACATATTCCAGAGTCGTTAATCGCGACTGTAAAATGAATTTTAATTTTGATCAACATGCAGGATGATATTTTTTTTGTACGATATGTGCAAACTTTTTTTATCTTTTTTTTTTATACTATAAAAAAAGGACTGCGAAGTAAATGAGAAAATGATTCATATATTTCCCGGCCTCCACTCTTTGTCATTTTCTACATTTATTTCGTTATGTAAAAACAAAAGTTTGCAACATTCCTACATTAGTTAAAGCATAATCGTCTAACTTTTTAATTTTAATATTTAAATTATAATTGTATGTCTTCTTCTGGCGATATAACAATATATTTTTTTCTTAAACAATCGCACTTTCGAATACCGATAATGTCAAACTATTTGTCGAAACTATTCATTCACACGTTTCATTCTCTATTGTCTCTATTTATTCCGATTCAATCTGATTTTGATTACGAAGATATAAGAAATGCGCGCGCAGACTTGGAAGCGGTGTAATTTATAATCTTATAATTTATTACATAATCTTTTTATTATAATTTAATTATAATTACTATTTTTTCCTTTTTCCTCGCGAATGTATAATAATGTTACCGAGATTGTTTTATATTGCGCGTTATATCTCGTTAAGAAAAAAACTGTATACTTGTTCTTACGATAATAAATTATTCGATCATAATTATATATGCATAATGTCTAATGCGCCTCTGGTGGAACGATTATTTCGATATTATGTCGTCGCGACTATAAAAAATCCGACAATATATACGATCGACAACAAACCGATGATAAAGTAGACTGAATCAATATTGCGGGCAAAATGATTGATAGCTTCGTGCCGACCCCTTATCTTACGCGGCACAAATTTTTGCGTCGCTCAAAATTATATCAATCCTTTACTACGGACTACGATCGCGACGTCCGCGATTTTCTTTGCGCCCCACCTTTCCATAAAATTATTAGAGATACCGAGAACGTGTTGATTATTTTTTCTTTTTCTTTTTTTTCCTTTTTTTTTGCGACGTGCAACAACTCGCCTTTATCACTTTAACCGCGATAAGCGAAGATTAGACCCATATGTCATAGATGTGCCGGATGGACAGATAAAACGATGTCATGGCGTTCTGGAAATTTAACGAAGAGGTTGTGCCACGTGACAAACGCGATGAAAAAAAAAAAAAAAACAGCCCGCATTTAAAATTACATCATCGTCATCGTTCATTAAATCATTCTCGCCCTTACTCTTTCTTTCTCTCACAAAACAATACTCTCTTTCTTTCGTGGTGTATCATTAATTTTAAAAATAGCGGGATTTTTTCTTTTTTTCCGCACCAAGTGACATTCTTCACAGCGATAATTGCATTTTTGCAACAATTTGAATCTGACGTGTCTGTGTGTGAATTGTTGCAAACTAAATGTTAAATAAATACAGATAGAGGGAAGGTTGTTGCTTTATCAAGTGCACTCGTAGCAGGCTCCGTTCGGTAGCACTCGTCGGTTAAGCCGCGGATACTTCACCTCGAGGGTCTCTTGTCATTAACAAATTGTGAGGTACAACTGACAGTCGAGTAGCAACAACAATTGGCCGATTATCTCTTCTACCAGTGGTTGCTGCCACTCTTGCACTTACAATTTGGTGAACGATCCGCGGTATATATTGTTATCTGAAATTTTTCTTTCTTCCTCCTTTATAGTTTTCCACACCGTTATTTTATAATCTTATCTGTGCATCTGTATATACTAATATACCGGAATTGCTCGATCATTGAAAACTGAAGTGTGCGCAATAATCATGAAATAAAACAATATAATTACGTGAAATAATATCGAGAATGTGATTATAAGCTCGTATTTGTTGGAATTACGCTGAGTCAGCTTAGATAGAAAATCCCAGCGTGGCAATTTATTATCTCCCGATCGCGTTATCTTGAAATCATTTCGCACATGATATAGATACGACAATTTATAAATTTCTTCTTTTTCTTCGCTTATAAATGTGCGCGATTAGCAAATGACAGATAAAGATTTCTCATCTTCTAATCAAGTTCTAAACACGTGCGTTGCATGCGACGCGCACATTTGAAAGATGTATATATTTCGTGTGTAATATGTAATATACAAAATCACCGAATACCTTTTAAATAATAAATTCTTTAACCAATTTAGAGAATTGATTTTTTGATCAATTTTAATTTAAGATTTAATTGAAGAAATACAATGCAACAAGTTACAATAAAAGATATCTACTCCATATTAACTAAACAATCTAAATCATTAAAAAGCTCTTTTTGAGACAAGGAACAAAATGCACTTTAATTCATATTCATCATAAGGTTAAAACCAAATGAATTAAATATCGATTAGAGGGTAGTACTGATGTTTGCGGAACTTATTTAAATATTTAAATGCAAGGAGATAATAAACGATTATATAGAGATGCATGTTTTTTATTCGTTTTTTATAGATTGAGGAGACTCGATAATATTTCGGCTTCTCCCGATTTGCGGTAGTCAAACTAATCTATGTAGGGTGTTATCACAAACAGAGATAACGTTGCCGGAGTTCCTATCAGGTAGCCATATTTTTGATTCAATATATAGGTGATCGATATATTGCCACATAGTTCACAGTAAAACGGGTATCACGAGACGAACGAGAATAAATTCTGCTCTCTGCTAATCATCATCACCATAATTAAATTTCACATTCGAGTGCCAAATGTGTTGTTTTTCCCAACACACATTCACCGGACGAACGCATTAGGAAGAAAGTGAGAACTTTAGAACTTCACTATCGAGAAATCATTTTTTTAATGTCTTCCGTGTTTAGTGGCATTTGCGTTCGATAAAATCGAGAGCGATATATTTTTGAAAAAATATTGTAAATATATTGGCTTTTCGAAAGAATTGCAACATATGTGATTGAATTCGCGTCGCGTTGCATTCGTCTCCTCTTCCTCGCATTCCGTCTCATCGGGATACGAAGTTTGCGTCGTGCAAAATTGTCGTTTCTGGTGGATACGCGATGCTTCATCGACGCGAAATACACGACGAACTTTTGAGAAACTTGAAATTACGCTGCTCCCTCGTATCCGAAAAAAAAGATACGCACTGAGATAATACGATAAATTATTCTTCTGATGCGTCCGCCTTTTTTAATCTCCGGGGGATATTTTTCAACTTTTTTCTACCGGACACGATAGTCGACACATTCGGAACGGTAAGAAGAAGAAGAAGGTGAGAAAAATGGCAGCCGGATACGACGATTGTTACGACGCTTCCTGGCATCTGATACCGCCGGATTACAACGTCAGCAACGAGGAGGAATACAGGTAAAAAGTTCAATAAAAATGAAAAACGCGATGTTTCTTAAAAAAAATATCACAATTATTTCGAAAGATTGGCTATTTTTGATCTTTTATATCGTCAAATAAAATTCAGATGGCGACTTAATTATTATTAAGATTACTTAATCCTAAAATAATTATCTCAAATATTTGCTCTTCCCTCTTTAAATAAAAACTATAATAAAAATATTACAATGATTAATTTAATATTATCAAGAAATCATCATGTAATGTAAAATTGATTAACAAGGATAGAGAATGTATTGCTGTGAGAGCCAAATATAATACTTAGCAATGCGCTAAGATGAGGAACAATCTCAAATCGAGATTTATAAGTTCCTCTTCCCTTATACGCCCTCTAAAATAATGTTTTTCTCTCTTTAAATAAAAAATCTTTCAATAATTAATTTAATATTATCCATAAATAACTATACAACGTAATATACATATAATTAATTCATTATTTAATTGATCAAAGAAAAGATAAAATTATTAGTTAATCTTAAAATAATTATACTTCAAATATTACCTTTCCCTCTTTAAATAAAAAATGTAATTGTAAAAATTGTCCGACGATCAATTTAAAATACCATGTATATAATAAACATATAATTAATAATTGAATTTATCGAAGAAGAAGATCGTTTGATTACTTCTAAACGCTGATTTAATTCGTCTTTAATTCGTATGAAAAGAAGTGTCATTAATCTCGAAAGAAAATCGGCCGATTTTCCGCGCGTTCATGCGAACGATTAACATATCTGATTAAGCAGATAGCACCGGAAACCGGAAGCGACCATTTAGGAACAGTCACGCATATCGGTTAGGCGAATCCTTCGGCGTAGAGTGGTACGCCTTGTTACACGCCGGGACACACACGAGAGAGAAGCGTGAAGGGTGGCGCACGCGGTGCGCCGACACCTGTTGGTTTCCATCGTAAATTTCGGATTAATCGTATTCCACTACGAGATACGATTCTGCCATTGCCCCGTTCATTGCACCTGCCGGATCGCAGGTCGTCGAATTGGACGATTATTTCATTTAACACGTATCGCCGTCTCACTTTTTGTCTTTTTTTACATTGTCAAATCGCTGCGTATACTTTATTTTGTTTTAATTATATGTATAATTAATAATATTTTTTTTTTTAATATAATTGATATATTTTTAAATATTATTTGCACGTATAACATTTGTACTATCAACTTAAAGTATCGTCTCATTTCATATTGAATTTTTTTAAAGAATTTCAATAGGAATAAATTATTTAGAGACTACAGAAAACATTCACAAAAAAACCGCATTCAAAAGATTCAAAAAAAGGAAAAAAATTATATATATATATATATATATATATATATATATATAGCGCGATTCTTATATTTATATAAATATAAGAATCGCGCAACAAGATTTAACATTTTTGTAATAATCTACCTTATAATTTCTATTCATGGCATATCGTTAATTATAAAACAGGTATGAAAAGAAAAAGTTAGAAGAATGGAATAGAAATTTTCCAAATACAAAAAAATTTGGAAAGTTTCAACAATGTGACGTGACATTTTCGATATTTTCACTGAAGAAAAGTTTCGAAAAGTTAACCAGATAAATAAAGTAATACTTAGGATCACCCTTGAAATAAATGTTATAAATCAAAGAATTCTAAAACAGTAATTTGTAGCGAGCATTTTCAAAGTCCTATTTGTGGAAATATGCATTTAAATACATGTATACTAATCAACGTTTGCAACATTTGTATAACAAATAAATTAACTTCCATGTGTCTCCTTTTTATGAAATTTTCTTTGAACCTTTACAAAAATTTCTAAAAAAACATTATGTATCTTTTACGATACACTTAACATTTTCTAGAAGAATTTCTCAAAATAATGTAATTCAATTTAATGCCTATTTAACATAATGGTACATATCTCCGAAAATATCGCAATGCATATCGATTATTCTTAGAATTCTTGATTCGATGTGAACTGTATTTGAAAATGATGAAAATCTTGGGGCTTATTTTAATGCTACGAAAAAATGCGACTCCTGTGTTCGCTTTCGCGATGGAATGCCGACAAAAAGGAAGGAACGTGAAATTGTCCTGCCGTGAAATAAGATCTTAAACTACGTCGGTGGCTGGCTAAAGTCTACATCACATCTGACAAAATACTATTTAAGCGGGAGAAAGATGGAAACCGCTTTAAGGTATAAAAACCTCTTTTCGACGAAAGCCCTTGAATCAGCTTGCTAAAAGAGTATATCCTGGGTTAGCCCACCCGTTGCCCATGAGGCCCAATCCCCATCATCTTGCGTACTACGTTCATTCATATCTCTTGCGAAGACCGTTGCCCTTTTTTTTGTAGCAACTTATGAATGAACGAGACTTATGAATGAAACTCGATGGTGTTCTTCGTCAAATTCCATTGACTTTTCTCCAGATGGTTTCCCAGAGAAGAGAGTTATTTCGGACAGTGTCGTCAAAGAGCACGATTTTGTTATATTAAATGTTAATAAGTATAGTAACTCTTAGTTAATAAGTATAGTGATTCTAAGACAGAGAGAGAGAGAGAGGAGAGAGTAAAGAATGTTTTCTTCAGGGTTAATATTTTTTTTTGAGATGTACATATATTTGTTGCAATAAAGAAAGGATTGTATAAATAAATGTAAAAATTATTAATACTTAGATTAGATTATGTTTTATGTTATTTGTTAGATAAAAAAATGTCATTATGAAAGAGACGCTATTAAATATAAAATGTGAGAAAAAAATCGAATATGCGCAATATCATAAATCAATTTTTTTTTTAATATAATTGATATATTTTTAAATATTATTTGCACGTGTAACATTTGTACTATCAACTTAAAGTAGCGTCTCATTTCATATTGAATTTTTTTAAAGAATTTCAATAGGAATAAATTCTTTAGAGACTAAAGAAAACATTCACAAAAAAAACCGCATTCAAAAGATTCAAAAAAGGAAAAAAATTATTAAACTGTTTTGCCGTGTAAATTATAACACTAATGAATTTTATAGTCTTCGTTTAACACCTACTTGAAAATTAACACTCAAAGGCACTTCAGAGGAAAAGAAGGAAAAGAGTCGAATGTCCTTCGTGATTATCCCTGACATCCAATGGTGCGCGAGGATTAACGTGAAATTCAACTTTTACACATACATAAAAAATCCTTTACATTTGTGAATAGAATGGCTTAAGAAAATTCATGGTTAGGGTCACGGAAAATCTAAGGAAAAAAAAATCGGCACGTATTTCAGTCAGTAAATAAAGATCGGTCTCGGATGTTTCTGAGATCAGGTACTAAAATTATGATTATAATGGCGAGATATACACTAAAATAGACAAGTGTCTATTCATTGTGTCACGTTTTCCGTTTCCGGCCCATCCAATAGAATCCCAAGTGTATAGAAAATTTCAAGTGGCCACTCTGCTTGACTGAGTGTTTCTACGAAGAGAATTTGACCATATATTTCTTTTCTTCACTTTGGCGGCTCGAGATTTCCAAAAGTATCAAAAGAAATACCGAGTTAAGTATATGTCGCAAAAAAAAAAACATATTTCATACTTCATATTTTTAATATTTTTATGTTTCATGTTTCGAATATTGCTTCATGTTTTTGTAAAACTATTAGTAAACGTTACCACTAAAAATATTTTATATTCGTTAAATAATGTATATAGATGTGTAAATTAAATTATATAATTATATATTATAAAATCTGATGGTCTATATATATATATATATATACACCAAAGTATTTTCTATAATTGCAAACATTGATGGAGAATATATTTTATTCATTTATTGACTATAATTAGATATTTGAATAAAAGTTTGAGATGAAAAATTTTTCTATTTATAATTATACAGAGAGTTGGAGCTGTCAAAAATTTTTCTATAACTACAACACACTATTATTCAAATCGAGCAGTTATATATATCTCCTGCGGCGCAAATTTCTTAAGAGCCATTAAGATGAATTTGAATGGTACATTTTTCAATGACTTGCTTTTCATCGAATCCTTAATTTAAACACTGAATTTAAAATGTGGTCGTTATGATGTTTAACATAAATAGACGAAAGTGACCACCGAGTTAATCTGAGATTTGAAGAGGGTATCTCGGCTCTTCTTTGAAGTTAATCCGGTCCTTTTTCGCTGATCCTATCGGATTTCTTTTCCACTACGTGTCTCTGCGGCTTTTAAAAATAATGTTGTTCGAAGTAACAGCTGTAATATTCCGAATAGAGAAGATCGAAAAGAGACGATGAATGGAAGAAGAGAGCTTTGTTTTAGCCACCTGATCGCAATTAAACGACAGTGCAACATCGCATTACAATAGTCTCAATTATTTTTAATTACATAAAAGTTGATAGATCTAACGTGTTATTTTACGACAAATAATTTAATATTTTATTAGGCAACAACACACAAAAATAATATTACACTGTGATGTGTGAAAAATAAAAAGTCGCGCAAATAGTGAAACTACTAGGTATAGAAGAAACATTATGTTTTATTACATGTCCTTCAACATTAAACACATATTTTCTTGAGCAAATTTTTCTGTTTTAAGAAAGTCTACGGTGTGCTCCAATTCACGTTATAAATCATTTGAATCTTTTGATTGATCAAATCAGCAAAAGCTCCTTATCTTTTAAGTATTAATTAATCAATGACAGGCAGCTTTCTTAACAAAAATATTTTTTATTTCAATAACAGAAGGAATTTATAAGAGTAAATTTCATGCATTAGTTATGGTCTCTTAACCGACATCTGACAGCTCTTCAGTTTTAATGAAGATTGTTTACTTTTATTTTCCGTCACTTCTTCAAGCTTACCTTCTTCTCACTTTGAAAGATAAATAGATCTGTTTTGTTATTATAAGAAGAAAGATCCAAGAAATTTCTTAAGAAGGCAATACTGTTTTTACATTGGTTCATAGATTTGTAGAGCTCG